GTGGCTTGGCATTTCTCTTCCCTCATCTCTGCTTCTCTTCTTGGTTGTTTAATCTTTTTTTTTTTTTTTTTAATCTCAAAAGAGATTGACTTAAGACACACCCTACACTAATCCTGTGTCATAAAGACAACCCATTCCCAAATGAGATTATAACCTAACCACAGCGTAGAAGTTAGGATTTATAACACATTTTGGGGGGATACAATTCAACCCATAACAACTGTGATAACAGGTCTTTGTCTCATGTTTGCGGTCCAGGACTGTGTGTGTGACCCGCATGTCCCTCATGGTGCCCTACCCTCCACTTCCCTCACAACCCTTGCCTTACACAGGCAATCTCTGCCCTCGGCTACCCCATGACGGCTTTAAATTTGCTTTTCTGCTACTTACAGTTCAACTGTCATCCTTTTGGTGACAAACACACATGCACACAAACACACAAAGGACATTCTGGAGTCATCCTAATCACAAAATAGGTGGCTGTTCATCTCTGAACTTGTGTGCTATATGCTGGAAGGAGAAAGGTAAAGAAAGACAAAGAGAAGGAAGAGAAAACCAAGCAGGCAGAAAGCCCACTCGGTCTGCCCAACATATTGACTCTTCCAATCCTCCATTTTAGCCTATTTTCAATTGTTTCACTGAGGGACAGTGTGGCAAAGGGGCTCAGAGTGTGGACTGTGGACTCAAGGCCATAACATCTCATTCTGTGGCCCATGCTGTCAGCCAGTCTACTAGGATCTATGACCTTGGGCAAGTGACTGATCCTCTCTCTGCCTCAGTTTCCTCGTTCATAAAATGTGGAAATAATAGGATCATTATGCGGGTTAAATGAATTAATAATTATGCTTCGAACAGTATAGGCACCTAAGTAAGCATATTATACGTGTAGCTTTTTTTTACTAAGGCAAGAGAGACAGAGACAGACAGATGGTGCTGACTGCTTTCTAAATGTGTTCCAAAGTGGCTGTCACCAGAGGCAGCTCCTCATCAAGGAATCTCTCCTGGACCTCTGCCGCACATTCCAGCCCTACCGGGCACAAGGCACATGGTACCAAGTGTTCCCACAAACAGCCATGTCCCCCAGCAATGAACAGGTCTTCGAGCTTTCTCTCATCCTCTGACCCTTTCCCACAGGTGACTCATTTCAAAATCCGGGGGCCCAAACCCTCATGTAGGTATTTAACACATCGTTTATCAGTTTTCTAAAATTGCCACATATAATATGCCAAAGATGGGAGATCATAATGTTCTGCCTTTGAATATTATTAGCTGATCCCACTCCATAGCTTGAGGCATTTTTAGGTAACACCAAGTTTCTTACACATCAGCATGTCATTTCAGCAATGACAATGAGAGAGGTTCACTCCAGGTGAGGGGAGAAGTTTGTCGAGCCACCTTGCCTTGGCTCTGATATTTGAGAAGAAGTTAGGTACTTAAAAATATATGCATGCTAAAGTAAAATTAGTTTAAAAAAAAACCCTCAACTTACAAAGCTTCCTAATGAATAGTTAGCCAGTTGCCTTGAGTGGATTCTGATTCATGGCGACCCTATGTGTGCAGAGTAGAACTGTGGTCGAGAGGGCTTTCAATGGCTGCTATTTCCAAAGTAGATCACCAAGGCTTTCTTCCGAGGTGACTCTGGGTGAACTTGAACCCCCAGCTGTTCGGTTAGCAGCACAGCGAGTTAACAGTGTGCACCATTCAAGGACTCCAATGAATAGTTAGAGGAGTGTACTTACAGAGCGAGCAATATATGGTCCTAGGCTTCTTGGCACGGGGATGTGAGGAATGTGCTTGATTAGCAACTGTTTGAGATCCTTTCTGGGAGTTACCACAATGGCTCTGGCGTTGGTTTTTTTAACACTTGGAGTGAATTGTCCTGTTTTTCAGACCAGTTTTCTGCTGGTGTCCTGTGGCGGTTTGGTGTGAATCATCTTTACCAAATCGCCCCATGGCTTCAGTGTTCCTCGCTGGCTGTGCCCAGTACCTTTGAGTAATTTCCATGGGTGACAGGTGGTTGGTTGTGGTGCAGGGGAAGACAGTGCTTACCCCACGGTGACAGGATTGTGCTTTCTTATTCCTATTCTCTAGAGCTGGGCGAGATTAAAAACGTTACCACCACGCAGCCTTCCCTGGAGCTGGATGGGCTCGAAAAATACACCAACTACAGCATCCAGGTGTTGGCTTTCACCCGCGCGGGAGACGGGGTCCGAAGTGAACAGATCTTCATCAGGACCAAAGAGGATGGTGAGAAGTGGGAGGAGTCGTGGGTGGAAAGTTCAGTTCCTGCTTTAAACACCAGGGGTTGCACGAGGCTCCTCCAAGCGGCAGCATTTATGGGCTGAAGGTATTGCTGGAAAGGTCCCATCAGAGAGCCCACCTTTCTACTCTTGACTTAGTTCCCAGCAAACCTCTATGCTGCCCTCCCAAAATCTCCCAGCTGCACGGAAATTCAGATTATCAGCTTCCTGGGTTGCCTTTGTTCTATTTATTGTTACTCTCTTTCCCTGTAGCTTCTCTTCTTCTTCTTCCCCACCTCCCACTTTCCCTCCCCCCCGCTTTTCCCCCACCTCACCTTTTTCTTCTCTCCTCCTCCTCTTCCTCCTTTTTTTTTTTCTTTTTTATTGGCCAAGTATTATTTTAAACAAGAAGGCTTTTTGTCCCAGAGCTGTAATACTCACCATACCTGTTTTGTGTTATCCTCTTAGAATAATTTTAGTGGCCTTTTTAGTTACTAGTATAAGCTCTGGTCATTTCTTGAAAATTATGCACTGGGTCCAAGTCCTGTTGTTCTGTACCAGTTGCATCACTTTAGAATAAGTCCTTAATTTGAGAGCTTCATGGTATTTTTTTTTTTTAATGTTATTCTCTTGAACAGATTCATGATAATTTAGTGAAATTTTAGATCTTGGTTCTTTTTGTTCCAGGCAATTAATTCTTGCTATTCTGTACAGTTTGGATTTGGTTATGTGACGATTGCCTAAACCTACAGAAACCATATGGCAAATAGAATAGTTTTTGCGTCGTTTTAAGGGAAACTCTTAGGGGCCTTATCTACGCTTGTCTGAAGAACAGTTTAAAATCTAATAAATATTATAGCAGTAGTGAGAAATGTTGTCTCCACCTTAATTAAAAAAAAAAAAAAAATCCAAACCCATTGCCATCAAGTCAATTCTGACTCATAGCAAACCCTATAGAGCAGAGTAGAACTGCCCCATAGGGTTTCCAAGGAGCGGCTGGTGGATTCCAACTGCAGACCTTTTGGTTAGCAGCTGAGCTCTTAACCACTGAACCACCAGGGTTCCACCACCTTAATAAAAGAGAAGGAGCAGATGATGTCAAATTGATACTTGTATGGAACCTTCTAGATCAGAGCACAGAATTATATGAGAGATGGAGTAGCAACTGAGACATTAGAATACCCAAGTGCTGTGCCTGATTTGATTCTGCAACTTGTTTTGTTTTCTCCCCAGGGCTCTGTTCCCTACTAAGCTGGGCAGGTTGGGCGTGGGAGAGCCATTACCCATTGCCCATGACCTCCCATATGTTGGCAAGTTGGATGTCTATACAAGCTCCTCTGTTGCATAGAATATAAAAAATGCTTCTGTTCCATGCTAGCTCTGTCCCAAGGACACAAATCTAGTGACCTATGCCAAGAGGCCTGGAGGCCTGAAAAGACTCTTCTCTTAGGCCTTTCTGTCCCCTGACAACCCTTCCCTGACCTTCAGAGCTTGCCTTCTTCCCTCTCACTCTCTGTTCTCACTCAGAAAACCAGGCCCTGTTCCCCTAAGCACTCCCATCCACCTACTCTCACCCGTTAGTTCACCCTCTCTCCAGCCCTTCTTATGTTATAGCATCTGCACACTGAGTAATCATAATTAGCTTAGTTTTCAAGAACACACAGGTCGTTCTTCCTGGGAATGTGGCGGTGTCAGCCAGTTCTACTAAAACAAATTGGATTATTTAGGGGTAGCTGAGGTCAAAATACAGTGTCATTGAGAAGTCACAAATTATAATATAGAGATATCTACAAAGTGAAGATAGTCATAATTTAACCCGAAAAGGTATAATATACAATGACCTATGTTTAGATGCTGGCTCATTCACTTGCTGCCTTTGGAACTTTGGGTACTTACCTAGCTTTCACTGTACTGGACTATCCTCATCTACAAAATGGCCTAACAATCCTACTCCCCAAAATTCATAGATAAAGAGTAAAGTGATGCTTTACAAATAGTGAGATGCTTCCTGTCACTAAATATTTATTTGCTCTCCACTCCTTCAGCGTCGGGGCAAGGGGGAGAGTGGGACATTGTGTTGCATTGCTAAACAACACAAATGTCATTGGAATTATTCTTTAAGGAGCAAATTGATTAGCAGCATAAATATTGACATCTGCATTTTGCAGAAGAATGTACAGAAATCCAATAGGAAGGGAAAGCTTTCTGCAGCTCTACATTGAATGAAAATTTTGGATCCATTTTTAATTAATTCTCCAGTTTTAGGAATCATAGAGTTCTGCCTCGAAACTTGACCCCAAGGCCTAATTTGTCAGTCAGTTGTTCTGTGCTTTGAATCCAGTGCCAATAGGGTGTGGAGAGGCGATTGACTGTGGAAGACCCTCCATTGGTCACACCATTTACCCTCTGGAAGAGGTGAAGAATTCCACATGTGATAATTGTAGTGGGTTAATTAGTGGTGCAGAACTAGGTGTCAATATTTGTTTGGGATTCATCACCATTTTCAAAAACAAGTTGAGCAGAGACTGGGGGAAAGGAGAGAAAAATTAGTGTAATAATGGGCTTACCTCCCAGATTCACATGAAAAATTCTCTGATTTAGAAATGGTGAGGAAGTGTGCCAGCCCTCTTTGCAGCCTCAATATCTGATATAAGAGGCATTTGAGCAGTTTATAGAACTGAGTACAATTTTGTGTTAGACTGGAAGAAAGGACAAGGGCTAATCATCACAGAAGAAATGCATAATCAAATTAAGAATATAGATTCTATTTATACTTCTATTATAAAAGATTATAATTTTGAAGTCTGGATTAGACTGCCAACTTAATTAAATTATGTAAAATTTGGATAGAATTCCAGTAAAATAATAGTTGCTAACATTTACTAAGTTCTTCCTCAACAAGGCACTGTTACAGGCACAGGTTGAAGTTCCAGTGTCAATGATGTTCCTCTAAGGGAAGAAACATTTATACATTAACAAACAAACATTCAGTTCATTCCTCTATGCCCAACACATCTCGTAACCTAGTGTCCCTACTTGCTCAGTCTCAGCCTAGAGCTATAAACGATGTTGTTATGTTCTGATAACTTTAAATAAAAACGTCATCACTAGTGAAAACAAAAAGTTGACTTTTTCAGGGGATGATTTGCAATTGAAAGGTTTGGTTAGAGAATGTATCTTTCCTGCCTTAAGTAGTTTCTCAGGCTCTGTCTTAGGATGCTTGGAGGCCCATGGACATACTTTTGAGTCCACAGACATAGTCTCAGGTCCTGGATGTTGTTTCAGGTCTGTGGCTTCATCTCAGATCCATGGGTATAGGCTCAGGCCCACGGGTACCTTATGTCCACAGACATAGGCTCAGGCCCATGGACACAGTTTCAGGTTTGTGGATATAGTCTCAGGTCCGTGGACACAGTCTCAGGCCCGTGGACACAGTGTCAGGCCCGTGGACACAGTGTCAGGCCCGTGGACGCAGTCTCAGGCCCGTGGACACTGTCTCAGGCCCGTGGACACAGTCTCAGGCCCGTGGACACTGTCTCAGGCCCGTGGACACAGTCTCAGGCCCGTGGACACTGTCTCAGCCCCGTGGACATAGTCTCAGGCCCGTGGACACAGTCTCCGGTCCGTGGACACAGTCTCAGGCCCGTGGACACTGTCTCAGGCCTGTGGACACAGTCTTGGACTCGTGGACACAGTGTCAGGCCCGTGGACACAGTCTCAGACCCGTGGACACAGTGTCAGGCCCGTGGACACAGTGTCAGACCCGTGGACACTGTCTCAGGCCCGTGGACACAGTCTCAGACCCGTGGACACAGTCTCAGGCCCGTGGACACAGTCTCAGGCCCGTGGGCACAGTCTCAGGCCCGTGGACATAGTCTCAGGTCCGTGGACACTGTCTCAGGTTCATGGTCACAGTCTCTGGCCAATCGACACTGTCTCAGGTCCATGAACATAGTCTCAGTTCTGTGGACATACAGTGTCTGTGAGAAATGCTTAAATTCCAGATCCTCCCCAGGGCTGTGCATATAATAAGAACTTGCATCCTGATTACTGCTGCAAAAGCACGAAAGATGATTTGCTGATCTGGCTTTCTGTTTTGAGTGCAAGACAAGTAACTCAGAATTCTAAAATACTTGTGAAATCCTAATACCATTTTATTTAACAGACTATAATCCAAGCAAAACCACAGGAAAAAGAGAACACACAAAGGCGAATGAAATATATTCATTTTCCAATTATTATGTTACTTCTGAAGGCGTAAGGTAGTTTCAGCCTTGATCCTTTCTTGCAAATGTGAACATTGCATATACATAAATAAAAATATTTTTATTTAAGTTCAAATATTTACTGTGTACATAACAGGTACACACAACACCGTAAGGCACTAGATGAAGAAGGCCAGCAGGTATACTATGTGATCTTTGCCCTTCACGTGTTAGTGATCTCTTTGGGGGGGTTGACATCTAAAGCTAGAGCTAAAAGTGGGTGAAAAATAACAGAAATCTGGATATCTATGAATCCTCTAGCCACCCATGTCTTGAACCATATGTGCTCTTGAAGGCATGGAGAGTATATGCCTATAAATGCTCAAGTGTCTGTGTAACCACACCTTAGTAGACTTTGAAAGCAATGGCTTCTGTGTGTGTATGTGTATGTATGAATGTATTTACATATGCATTTGTATACATGTATATGTGTGCATGTGTGTGAATTTGCATAACCATCAGCAATGCTCTTTAATCTGATGTTATCCAGACAAGCTAATTGAAATTATGAATTAAAGCAAGGACTCACTAAGCTTTAATATGACCAGCCATACCTTAAATGTTGCATTTTAACTTAAAACATATAAATGTATGTTTATTCTCTAATCATCTGATGTTGACCCAGGGTTATTTATGTACCTTTTGGGCTCACAGATTAAACTTTTATATCATCTTTTATTCCATAAGCATGTTCATCACGTATCCTCTGCGATTTCCAGTTTAAATTTCTAGAAAGTGGAGTAAGACCATATTGCCATTTGCCAGCAATCTCTTTGCTAACAAGACTCAAGACTCCTTATTGATTTTTGCCATTTGTCCCATTTTTCTCAGTGGTCTTGTCCACACCTAGTTGAACTTCCTTTTTCCCCACCTTTCTTATGAATTGTTACAGAAACAGCTTTATTTTGCGCTCATATTTCATTTATTTACATAATCAATTAAATTACAATATTGCAATGACAAGTACAATTGGCACAAACAGATTGGAAACAAACATGGCGGCCTCCTGTTGAGCAGCCACTCAACTGGTTGTTGCTGAAGTGCTTGGGCTCCTAAAGAGAAGCTAGCCAGAGCAGAGTGTTCATCATGGAGGGTGTCAGCCAGATGGTTCGCTTTACAGAATGAATGGAGACCGTTGGCCGATTGTGGGAGTCCGTTAAGATAAAAAAAGAGAATATCCACTCCATGCTTGGTGTTCAGGAGAAACCCTTGCATTGCTGAACCAGACTGTGGATGTCTGGACTATTGCCTTCTCCTGTAGAAACCTAAACACAAATGCCCTCCCTGCCCAAGACAATTTTGTTCCATAAAGACTTATTAAGCTAGGCTTTATCACATATGCCTACTCCCTTTGCTAGACCTTCGGCTGTTAGCAAGACTTGATAAAAACTGAAACTAAGATTTTATAGTTTCAAATGGTGACTCTGCCCCACCCAAGTTAGCTCTTACTGGCGTTTTTAGTTTTGTTATTCTGACTTAAAAGAATAAAGGTGACAATTATGTGATATATGTTCAACTCAAAAAATATTTAATGAATATTTAATGAATGTCAAGTGGGTGGCTTTAAGGAACAGAAATTGATTTTCTCACAGTTCTGGAGGCTAAAAGTCCAAATCAGGGTCTCTACCAAGATGAGTCCTTCCTTGTTGGTAGCCCGGGATGTTTCTTGGTTCCTTGGTGATCCTCACATGGATAGCATCTATCTTTCCTCGTGTGTGTGAGTCTCTGTGTCTAATCTGCTCTTTTTATAACTCTGAAGTGATTAGATATACCCTTCCCAGATAAGATCTGATTAACATCACAAAGAAGGCACTATTTCCAAACAGGAGTGAATCCACAGGTATAAGGGTTAGGATTCCAACATCGTAATCTCATTAAGGGGGAGGGGGCACACAGTTTAATCTGTAACAATGAGCAATTATGTTGTCATTGGGGCAGTAAGAGACTCAAAGATTCCTCCAGGGGCTTACAAGGAACTTATATTGGTTTGAATTTTATGACCTCCATCAAGGTTGCAACCATGCTCCACCTGGACAGTTAGACCAATGAAGAACAGAGCAAGAGCCTTGTGGCTTCTCTCAGTAGGAGCTTTAATGCTCTTTTCACTTATCCCCACCCACTTCACCTCCATCCTCCTTCTTCTACCTGGACAACAAAAAGATAAACATGGGGGGGTGCCTATGTTCTCTGTGTTCAATCTCACTCCCAAATCATGCTTAATATTGTTACTACTACTTCCTACGTTCTCAGATCACTTACAGAGGAGTTTGTCACATCTACGAACAATGAACCTTTAGCTCAAAAGTCCATAGGGGGGGAAAAACATTGCCAGCAAGTCGATTCCAACTCATAGTGACCCTGTAGAGCAGAGTAGAACTGTCCCACAGAGTTTCCAAGGAGCAGCTGGTGGATTCGAACTGCCAACCTTTTGATTAGCAGCCAAACACTTAACCACTGCACCACCAGGGCTCCTAAAAGTTCATACTCGTAAAAAATACTTCCAATCTTCCCCTGAACCAAAGGAGGCACCATTACAAAGTGTTTGGAGCAAGGAAAGCTCCCTGGTTAGTGCTTGTCTACTAAGCTAAAGGTTGGTGATTCAAACCCACTAGAAGAAAGTAGAAGAAAGACCTGACCATCTGCTTCCATAAAGATTGCAGTCAAGAAGACCCTATGGAACAGTTCTATTCTGTAACACATGGGGTCACCATGAGTCAGAATCAACTCTAGGGCAACAGGTTTGGTTTGGGGGTATAGAAGAGCAGGGTCTCTGATGATGGAGGTAGTTCTCGCTCATTCCTCTCTAACTCAGGAGGCAAGATGTACAATCCCAGCCTATTCAAAGTCAATTTCATAGCAGAAAAAAGAATGGCCCAGAAGCTAAATTCTTCACAAGTTGGAGGCAGGAAATCACTATGGACTGAAATGGGAAAACAGAGCCTTAAGGTGTCCTTGGAGTGCTGAGTAGAGCATGTGGCCCAGCTGGAGCAGGGCACTGTGTTGGGAGGAGGGACCTTGGGGGCCTGTGGAAGCGCCATTTTGGTGACTAAATGCGCTGCTCTTCCAGTTCCAGGTCCACCAGCGGGAGTCAAGGCAGCTGCGGCCTCAGCCTCCACGGTCTTTGTGTCCTGGCTTCCCCCTCTCAAGCTGAATGGCATCATCCGGAAGTACACTGTATTCTGCTCCCACCCCTACCCCACAGTAAGTTGGTAAATAACCAAGTGCCTTTCAAGCATCTTCCAGAAGTTAACTGCGAGCATTCATTTTAGACAATTTCATTCCTTTGTTTTCCACATACTTGGGTCTTCCCAGTGGTTTTATTTTCCCCCTGTTGTCTCCACGTGCAAAGCAAAGCCCTCATTTACTCCTCATTTGGACATACCCATCTGAATTGTGATAGGGGACACAATTGTCTAGAATTATTGTTTATTTGGTGAGTTCCCACAAAAAAATGCCTACAGGCTTATCAAAATCAAAACGCAAAGGCCTTATTTGTGCCTTAATTGATAGTCAGTGGACAACACCTATTGATTTTGCTGTTGGACTCATCGTTAAATGCGCTTCCCTCCCTTCCTCCCTCCTCCCTTCTCCTCTGATCTTACCTCCCTGCCCCACGCCCCCCCTCCGCCCCCATCTCCCTTCCCTGTTCCATCCCACACTGAGAAAGAACAGCAGGCAGTCTCCTGTAGTGCTAGAAATGAGGGGATTTTATGAGGATTTATGACCTTTACAGAGTCCCTGGGAGGTGCAAACAGTTAAATGCTCAACTACCGTCTTAGTAGTGCTTATCTGAGTACTGTCTTATCTAGTGCTGTTCTAACAGAAATACCACAAGGGGATGGCTTTAACAGAGAGCAGTTTATTCCCTCACAGTCTAGTAGGCTACAAGTCCAAATTCAGGGCGTCAGCTCCAGGGGAATGCTTTCTCTGTCAGCTCTGGAGAAAGGTCCCTGTCATCAGTCTTCCCCGGGTCTGGGAGCATCTCAGCGCAGGAACCTCAGGTCCAGAGGATGCACTCTGCTCTCAGCACTGCTTTCTTGGTGGTGTGAGGTTCCCATGTGTCTCTGCTCACTTCTCTCTTTTATATCTCAAAAGAAATTGGCTTAAGACACTATCTAATCTTGTAAACCTCATCAGTATAACTGCCTCTGATCCATCTTATTAGATCATAGTGATTGAATTTACAACACATAAGGAAATCACATCAGATTGCAAAATGGTACACAATCATACAATACTGGGAATCATGACCCAGCCACGTTGACAGATGTTTTTGGGGGACACAATTCAATCCATGACAACTACCAACCAAAAAACGTTGGCAGTTCAAACCCACCCAGAGGCACCTAGGAAGAAAGATCTGCTTCCAAAAGGTCATAATGTTGAAAACCCTATGGAGCACAGTTCTACTCTGCAACACAGAGTCACCATGAGTAGAAATCAACTCAATGGCAACTGGTAACTTGTACACATTCCTGAGTGGTGCAAACAGTTAACACGCTCAACTGCTAACCAAAAGGTTGGAGGTTTGAGTCCACCCAGAAGTGCCTTGGAAGAAAGGCCTGGCAATCTACTTTTGAAAAATCAGCCACTGAAAGCCCTATGGAGCACAGTTCTACTCTGACACACGTGGGGCCACCATGAATCGGAGTCAACTAACAGCAGCTAGTTGGTGATGACCCTTACAATTACAATAGCTCCGTTTATTAGGGAGGAATTAAAAGTTAGGGTACTTAAACTAATATTTCAAAGTCGTATTTATTATTATTGCTACTGAATACTAAATGTCAAGTTAGATTGTTTCTTAGTCCAGGTTTAAAGAAAGTATATCAAAATGGAAATTTTATAGAGAAATAGAAACACAAAAACGGCAATCACAATGCCTTACGTCTAAAGGAGTCCTTGGGTGGTGCAAGCAGCTAAGTGCTCATCTGCTAGCCGAAAGGTTGTCAGTTTGGACCCACCCAGGGGCACTTGTGGAAACATGTCTACTCTGCATACATGGGGTCGCCAAGAGTTGGAATCCACTCATCAGCAACTAACATCAGCAACAATTTAAACCCAAAATCAAACAAAGTAAAACAAAACAAAGGTTTATACGCACACTAAATTTCTTATGTCTTCATGGAAGTTATATGATATTTTCTGAGGTGATTGCCATGTTGAATCCATCTTTTTATTGCCTGGCTTCTGGCGTAGAAATTGACATGCGTGGTCATTCAATAAGTATTTATGGAATGAATGTGTGGGCTATTAATCAGTCTTACCTTTAAAAGTGACCCATTTTCCCAAGTCCAGACTCTGCAGGGGGCCGAAGACCACTAGTTCCTCAGACAGTGAGCACAGGTGATCATAGAGGAGTGGGGGAGCACATGGACAGGCCACTAGGATCTCTCCCTCTGCGAGAAAAAAAACAAAAAACAAGTTACATGTTTTACTGTTTGTATGTCAGCAGTGGTACCTCTGGGGATAAAGTAAAAATTTAAATGTAAAATGGTCAGAGATGGTTCTGGAATATTTCTGGGGTTCCTTATTTGGTTTCAAATATGCAGTTAACTTTCACCTGTTGAAGCCTAGTATCCAGCCCAGAGATGCAAGGCAGGACTGATGCTGAGATGACAATGCTGGGCAATCATACTGCTCTACTCAGAGAGGCATTTGACTGAGGACACCCATTCCTCCCTCCCATTGCCCCGTGTCTTCGTTATTTAGTGCTGCTATAATAGCAATACCACACATGGGTGGCTTTAACAAACAGAGATTTATTTCCTCATAGTTTAGGAGTCTAGAAGTCTGAAATCAGGGTGCTGGCTCTAGGGGAAGGCTTTGTCTCTCTGTCAGCTCTGGGGGAAGGTCCTTGTCTTTGAGCTTCTGCTCCTTGACGATCTTCATGCGTCTTGGCATACATTTTCCTCCGTCTCTGCTTCTCTCACTTGCTTGTTGAATCAGCTTGTTAGGTATCTTGAAGGTGATCAGCTTAAGAGACACTCTGCTCTGATATAGCCTCATTAATGTAAAAAAGAAAGCCCTATTCCCAAATGGATTACATCCACATTATAGGGGTAAGGAATTCCAACACATATATTGTATTATTGTCCTCTGTAGCCCTGGTGGCATAGTGGTTAAGAGCGCAGCTGCTAACCAAAAAGGTCAGCAGTTCGAATCTGCCAACTGCTCCTTGGAAACCCTATGGGACAGCTCTATTCTGTCCTATAGGGTCGCTATGAGTTGGAATTGTCTTGAGGGCAATGGGATTTTTTGTTATTGTCATAGAGGTGCTGTAGCAAAGTACCACAAACTGGGTGGCTTAAAAGAACAGAAATGTATTCTGTCACAATTCTGGAGGCTGACAGTCCAAAATCAGGGTGTCAGCCATGTTGATTTCCTTCTAAGGTTCTGAGGGAGAATCTGTTCTATGCCTCTCTCCTAGCTTCTGGTGATGGCAATCCTTGGCATTGCTTGACTTGTAGATGCATCACTCCAATCTCTGCCCCCGTCTTTACATGGCCTCCTTCCTTCGATGT